ATGATCAACAGATATTATCAATACAGTAGTACATACTTTTTCATTCAGTCATAAATAAATTTTCTATGAAAGAAAGCTATAGAAAGATCATTGTTTTATACATGTAATTCTGAAGGAATCATAAAAAGATAATTAATAATGGCAAATTAATCCTTGCAATAAACCTTAGAGAGTTGAGGTGGTTTACCACCAAAATGTTGTCTTTCTTTGTAAGCCATACACTAGCAGAGAAAATTACAGAAACTGCAATAAAGGCCTCAGGCATTGCAATTGGTCAGGAGGAAATGCAGTATTCAGAGAAACAAGTGCCCAATTTGCTGCAGAACAGAACCAAAGCTGTCATTCCAAGGAGTATGGGGTTGTGTGGAACCCCCCAAGGGCACGCACAGAGAAGTTTTAGCTACTGTCTTCCATGGGATTTAAGTAGAGAAATCAAGCAGACAGGTTGTTTCTCCTCCTTAGGAAGGAGACCTGCTCCATTTTGGAGCTAAACTGTCACTCTCCTGCTCACAGGAGGCTCCAATCCCTCGTGAAACACACAGAATTGAGCAGCCCCTTGCTAAACTGAAAAGGATCACTTTTCATCCTTTTCATGGTAGCTGAACTGTTGTTCCAGGTAGAAACAGAAGATTCACAGGAAATTAAAGGCCTACTTAACTACTTATTATAGTTCTTAAGTTCATGGTTATGAAAGGGTTCTGACACTCTTTTCCAAAATTCCATACATTAGCAGTTACCAGACTTGAGAGGGAAAAAAGCTCTCATAGCAGAGCAGTAGATTAGTAGCAGGGAAGCAACTATGTTCCTAGCAATTTATATGCAGTTAAATTAAATTATACTTATCTAATGAAAACTGTAGAAATCCTGAATTAATATCCACAGGGTCAGGATTCATAACATGAAAGTAAACCAGATTTAACACAACACAGGGTTTTTCACAGCTACAAAACCAAGGCAAACAGAAGCAGTAGCAATATGACTAAAAATAGAAGAACTAGACCAGAACACATGATCTTCTTACCAACTAACACATCTTTAATTCACAGTACAGAAGACTTCCAGAAGATAAATTCATTGACTGAAAGGAAAATTTGACACTGAATGCAGGGACCTTGGACCCTGTTTCCTCACACTCATAGTGCATCTACTGCAAATAAGTCAACCTGATCTTGTAGAAGACACCTCTGTACATCAAATAAAGTCCAACAGAAATTGCAGCTTCCCTCCTATAGCCCCCAAGACTGCTTTGAAAATTAAACATAAATTATGGACAAATGAAATCACCACATGCAAATCAAGTGCTGGAAAAGAAGGCTACTCCCAAATGCTTATTAAGCCAACTCAAATTATCACATTTCCATCCTTATCTTCTGTTTCTAATTAACAGAAAATTTGAACTATCTAAATAATAGCATATGGTAAAAATGAAAGCAAGAAACAATTCTTCAACTTCATTTTAATTAAATGGAGATTAAATGACCACACTCCTCTGTGGATGTTCAATCATTCTTTTTATTTTTTTAATAACATCTTTTCATGGAGCTTTTTGTCCCAATGAAAGTGCAGTCATCTCCATCCTTTAAAGAGAGAGAGCAAAGAACAAGTGCTATCTGGATGCTAGAGGAAATGCAAATGTACATCAAATAATCATACAATAATCACTTACATGCCAATGTAGGCATTTTTACCTACTGAAATGGCTAACACATAAAAAATTCAAAAACAAACAGCACATTAGTTGTGGCACTGTCCCAGCTACTGAAAGGGTAAGTTAAAGTGTAATTCAGACAATAATTTCCAAAATCCAATACAAATTTGGGTAGAATTTTAAATATAAAGGCTAAGTGTAGCTACTGCAGTTGCAACTAAAGAGCAGCATCAAAAATAATGCAAATAAATTGTTAAGTAGCCCTAATTTCCTTTAGCAGGTACCCAAATATGCCTGGTGCTAAATTAGTCACGTAAACTGCTGAAAATATATATGCGGGATTCTGAAAAAATCCTTAAATCAAAGGACCTAAATTGAATACTGCAGAAAGACAATACTGCAAAGCAAACCAATTTCATTTTACTGCAGTCTACATAACAAAAAATATTGCTAACTATGCATTACTGATCTTTAAGCAATAGTAATCAATGCTAACTATGCATTACTGATCTTTAAGCAATAGTAATCAATGCCTTTAAACAAATGAAAAAACTAAGGTTTTTTTAACCACTGCTTAGTCCATTAGTTAATTTTCTCTAGTTAATTTTCTCACCTCTTTTTTACCCGAGAACCACTTTCAGTAGATGAACTTTCTGACAAAAAAAGAACAAGCTTAATGTTCTTTCAGAAAACCACCACTCTTTTTACAGTGTTAAAGCTTCTTCCTACTATGAATTAAATTGTTCCATTCCCATTTACCTCCTGTCAACATTAAAGTTGCACATGACTAATCTGTCCTACCTGACCTAAAGAGGAGGCAGCAAAGGCTCCCAGATTCCTTGTACAGACATGAAGCCACATGACTCCACTTCCAGTGCTTGGGAAATTCCAGTGGGCTTCCGAGTTAAAACACCCAAGAACCTGCTCACGGAGCACAACACATCTTGACTTTTCCCTGCTTTTCTGGGCTCCCGTGGCAGACAGGGTTTCTAGACTGATGCACCTCCAGCCCAGAGTGCCCACAAATCCTGGTCAGTGCTCAAACAGGGAACAGACCTAGCAAAATTCTATGTATGCTAAGCCTACCAAATTGCAGTTCAGCCATTGGTCAAACACATTTTAAAACTTCATAAACTACTTTCCTAGAGTAAGCATTTGTAATCAACCTGTGTTAGTAACTAAAAATAAAACCAGCCAACACAAGTTCCTTTATCGTTACTGCAAAAATCACTAAACTTGGTTGGTTGTTTGCCTGCTTCTGAAATTTTCATTACGTTTGCCTATTAAATTTAGAAGAATTAACTCATAAATAAAGTAAGCATATGCTATGACTAACCACATAAAACAAAAAAGAATGTTGCATACCAAAGAAAATAAGACTGGTAAACTAATACTGAAAATGCGTATTTTGATTTATAAACCTGTGTGTTTCATAAAAGTAAGGAGTTATCCTGAACACATGGTTTGCTTGTTTGGCAACACTAAATCTCTATTTTTATTCAGAATAGGTTACCTAAAAATTCTGATTTTTCCTTTAGGAAAGTGCTAGCTCTGGATGATAACCTTCTGTGACAATCTCTGATAATCAACAAATTTCATTAATATTTTAGAAGTTAAAAAGCAAACAAGGGGGAAGAAGTTCTTCTCTCCTTGCACTACAGTAGGTGTAACCCAGCTGTGTGCATTGGCAAGTCTGTGGCACTAACAAAATGTCAGATTTCATCTCTTTTTCCTGACTTGGGAACTGCATGACACATGTGTATTCCGACTTCCAACTGAAAGCTATGAAAAACTAAAATCTTCATATGATAAGACAACACTCCACATATCTTCTCTCTGAAACACATTCTCTAGATCACTACTAGCTTTGTAAACAGATTTTAGGAATAGCAGTTCCTATTCACCAAACAGCAGAGCAAATTTCTAGAGATACAGTGAAGCCACATTGTCATCTACAGCTACGAGACAGTTCTATTTCACACATCTCTGCAGCAATACTCTTTTTCCAGTGTTAAAAATGAAAAAAAATAATAAAGCTATTTATATTTTAGGCAGCACAATACCCTTTAATGAATAAATATTGCAATTTTTTTTCAGTAATTGCAATAACAAACTTCAGTTATCTTTTTATCTTTGCTTTAATTAACTAAGAACACAAGAGCTTAAACAGGCACTTCAGATTTAACACTGATCTGAGTGTTACAGGAATTATTAAGCACTACAGCATTTATGAGACTAGAGTAAATAACTAATGCTGTTACTTGCTCTGATTTTTATGCCATTATATCCTTGAAAAACAGAGCCAGGTTGAAACACGTTCTGTCATGACAGAATGCTTACAATCCCTTTCTTGGCTTTCCCTGAGGGAATATTACATAGTTTTAGATCATGAGTTAGGGATTTTTTTCTCTCACTGTTTCTTATAGATCATGATCTTGCAGAAGTTTAACTTGATGCGCAGGATTGCAACTGACCCATTCACTGCTGATGAAAATCTGAGAGAAATGCCACTCAGGTCTCTGATACGAGCATTCAGCAGAAAGGTGTTAAATCCCAAATGAACTGATTATGTAAATGAGGTGTCTCACAGTTCATCTACAGATGGTCCACAAAGTGTAAGACATCAACATCAGAAATGAAAACTTGTTCTCCATAATTTTTCTGTGAAATAGATCATCATCATCATGCTTACATCTCATATTTCAGCCACAGCATTAAGCAGGGTATATACTGTGCTATTCTGAGAGAACAAAACAGGTGGAAACTAATTCCATCCCCTTTCATACAAATGGAGTATAAACAGCAATGGCCGAGTCAAACTGGAGAAGAAACAAGAAAAAGGAAAGGTATGAACAGAAATAAGAAACTCCAACAGCATAATGCTCCATAACCTTCCATATTTCAGAGAGAGCAGTTCAGGCAATTAATATTTTAATACAAAGAATTTTAGCTCTTAATACTTAAAATATTAATTTAATACCTTAACTTCCCTGCTGGCCCAGCAAGTATCTGTAAATTTCAGACATGACATACGCCTCACAGACTGCTTCTTACTATAATTCATTCTCACTGTATGAATCAGGCTTCTTATAATGCATATCATTATGGTGAAAAATAATTTTTAACTTCTATTAATAGCACTAAACTATAGACATCAAATAATATAGCACTTATTTGTTACCTATATTAGTATTTTTGAATTAGACAAGCAGTAATGACCAACTCATCAGAAAAAGTGTATTTTTTGAAATCACAGGGTTCAATTCTGTGATAGCAAACACCATACACCTTTAAACATTTGCATTTCTACTGAGCAAAAGTACAATAGTGAGAAAAAAAAAGTCTTCCTTACCTATGTATACAATTTTTAGATTCAAGATATGCCATACCAGAGGCAGCATCTAATGAAAATTTCACCAACTGTTTGGTTTTCAGCTCATCCTTCTTTTTTCTTAGGAATGACAGGAAATCACCTCCTAGAAAATCAGACAGATGGACAGTGAGACAGACTGATAGGATATTCACATTTATCTCTCATTTGGTGCAAGACCAAACAAAATGCAGGTTATTAGCTGTTCTCCTCATCCCAAGTTTGAGGCTAGTCCAAGAACAAGGAAGAAACTCATCTTTCAAAAATACATTTTCTCTTAAATACTAGGTGCCTGAATGTGAAAATTGCACAGCATGCTTTTGAATTGTATTAAATGTACACTAGTCTTCACCACTGTACATTTAATACAGACTCACAAACTGCTCACAAAAAATCTTGATAATCTGTGATACATATTCTTCTCTAATCACAGAATTACTAATTGTGAATAAAGAGATTAGGTCCTATTAGCTACATGAAAGTAATTACTTTTTAACTGATCATTTGTAGTGATGTTTCTCTAATTCTACACTGATGTGTTGGAGGAGTAACAAAGCATTTTCTTCTTGGCCAGTGTTAACTGGACTTTTGACCAGGGCAAGTGGAAGGTGAACAGTTATTACTCTGCCTTCTGAGGAGCAAAGCCACTATCATCTTGTCTGAGAAGTGGGAAGGGTCATGGTGGAGGATTTCCAAAAAGAAAACTGTGTTAGCAAAAAAATTCTGAAAAACTGATTTAGGACAACGGTAAGCTGAAAGAATATTATACAAACACTGTGAAGCCATGTTCTAACTGATATAAACATATTAAAAGACTTTTCCAAAATATATTTTATTATTTAAGGCAAAGACAAAAAAAATCACAGCAGACCTTTTAATACCACACAATTATTTGATAGTGAATAGCCAATCATTGCCCCAGTATTTGTTTCTGTTCATTTAGGACTGAACTATTAGGATTTGTTCTTACAATCTTTTACATAATTTTATATACTGCCTTTTCTTAGAAATAGGAAATGATGGTATTATATTAAAAGTTTCATATGTGATTTCTTTTAAGAAGCTATCTATATTTATATTTCATAGTGTAAGAAATAAAGTAAGACAATATTAAAGAAAAGAGTCAGATGTTATGAAGTGCAACTGTAATGTCTTCAGGCATTATGTTGGAGCTGTCCTTTACTCCCAGACTGGGTAACACACAGATGGGAGAGCAAGAAGTGACTGGATTGCCTTGATTCTAAAGCTAATCTGAAACATCCTATAGTGACTTTCAAACTACAATGAAAAAGGACAGATGACTACCGCAAACTGGACTGGGCAATAATACCTTTTATTTAATCTGAGAGGTTACTAACAGGGTCCAGTAACTGGTAAAAAGTAGGTATTGCCAGTGGAAAGTAAGATAAACACTCCAATAAATAATGTGTCATTTCTTGTACATGCTAACAGAATTATTCTAGTTACAGCAGACAGCTAAAAAAAACTTTTAAGCAACTCACTCCTCCAAGACACACACAACAAGCTGTCAAAAATTTTGTTATTTATGTGCTGAGACCTCGCTACTCTCTACGCAGGAATCATCTTTGAATGAGAAAGTATGACTACAAGCCTCTATGAATATGAAGTTTTCCCTTCTATGGCATTACTTGAATAAGAGCAGTAATCGAGGCAGCTCATAAAAATGCATTTAAGACCTTAAAAGACATTTAAGATCTTAAAAAACACTCTACTTTCAATCAACCAATGTTTCAATATTGAAGAATTGCTAGCAACTTCACGTAGGAAGAACTGAAAAGACAGATAAGCTCCGTTTGATATTCTGGGAAAATAAAATAGATAAAAGACCAAACAAACAAAAAGGACAAAACCCAAAAAAGAAAAAAACCACACAGGAACAAATTCCCTCAAAATCTTGCAAAAATTCTCTATTAAAAAAACTTGCTATAACAACATCAGTGTAAACTATAATTCTCACAATTCATATAAATTCTTCGTATAAATAAGTTCATGCACTCCACAATCAACAATGAAACTATCTGTTCTCAAGTAACAACGTATTAAAGACAAGAAGGAAACTTAAACTTTAAACAAAAGAAAACCCAACCATATCCATTAAAAATTTTTAAAATAATATGTGTTATAAATTCGTTTCCAATATGCTCAGGCAATCACACTAATATCCCAATTTTCAACAACTTGTTTCTTAATGATATTAAAAGCTGATCAGCTCCTAACATCAGAATATGTCAAACTCACAAAGCACAAGCCCATTACTTGCCAGTGCAATTCACTACCATCAGAAAGTGATTTTCAGAGTGTGGCACGCAGTGTATGAAATTCTAGAGTTTCCAGGAAAAACAGCACCATACTTCGAGCTGTATACAGTGTACTAAATGCTTATCACCAAATTTTAATTACATTACTTTAATCTGTCGCAGAGTTTTCATGTTCTGTCCTGGCATAGAAATGGCAAAAACATCTTCTAAATATTCTGTTTAATATTAATTTAAAAGCAGTGTTAGTAGAAGACAAAATAAAAGAGCCAAGTAACATCCATCTCACTCTGTACAATATATGTAATGTTTAGGGTAAATCTGATTATCCTCATCATTGTGATACTAACATAGGCTTAAGTGTCTGTCCTTTAAGTAACAGAGTTACCCCTCAGTAAATTCTGACTTTTAGTGTGGTCAATGTTCCAACTATTCATCTTCAAAGCAAAGCATCCACATTAATATCTCCAAGGCTGAATTAAAAGTATTTCTCTACAAACTCTTCAGTGCAGAGCAGTGGTTAGGTAACATCTTAATGTACTTTTAAAAATAAGTTTTAATATGAAAGCCCTAATTCACTATTTGCAGCATGTAGTGCCAGAGCATTATTTCCAAGTAATAGCTGTTGACAAAAATGAAATAAACAGACCAATGAGACTAGGAAGACTACACAACAGTAAGTAATGCTTTCTCTTTTATATGGAATTTCCATTGTATTCTGCACAGCTACCTGTTATTCCAGTTAATGGCCCACAACACCACTAGAAAACACCGCTAAGAATTATAAAAAAAATTAGACCATTATATATGTATTATCACCTAGCAGAGAAGGCTTGCCTGTTTTTGGTTTACAGGAGGACAAATAACAGTACTGGAGTCCCTTCCTAGTACAACATAATTATTTTACTAAGTAGAGGACAAAAGGTAATTCATAAGCAGAAGCTCATGTGAGCAGCCTGTTATAACTGGGTTTCTAAACACAGCCCTTCATGTATTTTGCTGTGAATGGGAACTATTTCTTATTACATGCTGGAATTCTGAGAGTGTGAAAGTACCACGCATCAGCATTTTCTAGTGTTGGCTGTGCTTTACAGCATAAACTTCTTGTTGTACAATAAGAGGCATATAGTAATAGAACAGTTCACTCCTCTGCACACAAAAAAAAGCAAGTTGGTGCTTTGGAAGAGGAAAAAAACAAACACTGTGATCTATGAGAAGAAACCAAAAATGCAAAAAACAACAATGAAAAATGTCAAATAGGTTTACAAAGTATTAAGTTATGGCAATCTCTGATTTGACTGGCATTTATAATCAACTATGACCACATATTTCAGTTTTCCTGAGCTAGCGTCCACAGTGACACCTACCTACTTGCTCTAGGCACTCCTGGCATCATTCTGACAACCATTCTGACACTGAACACAACTAAAATATGTTTTGAAATGATGATGGAAAATCTCCCACTGAATTGGTATATAGACATACATTGTTTATATATTGTATCTCTATCTAGTATCCTAATAATATTATAAATAATTATACAAATATTAATAAATGTTTTAATACAATATCAATTATTACAAATTATAAGAAGTTATATGCATTCTTATTCACATATAAATTTTAATAAAGTGGGGGAATTTCCTTTGTTAAACAGCCTTTTTAACTGTGTTTTTTTAAAGAGGTTGCTTAATTCTTCTCATATTTCTACGCAAATTCTTCATGCAGATGCATCTTGCTTGTGGCCACATGTCCTAAAGGTCACCTAACCCAAGGGAGCTTTAGAACTCAGTATTCCTAACTGCTTCACAGGCAATTGCAATATTACTGAAATTACCTTTATCTGCACCTCTAAGTATTTATAAATTTGAGAATTTAAATGGTCAATATTCCAAGTAGACTTAAAGTAATTTAGAATTTCCTTTATTGCCCATATCTTAATCCCATATACATGGGATCAAAAACACAAGCCCAAATGGAGTTACTTCTATGAATTTAAAATAGTAAAAATGCATCTCTAGGGAATTCTAGGAAATATATTTTTAAGTACGAACGAAGCAATTTGACATACTATTTAGAGTAAAAGGGTTTAAAAATGCTAAACACATTTTCAATAAAGTACTATACCTTCACACTTCAATTAATGCATCACTTGTGTGCCATGCAGTACTTAAACTTTTTTTGTTCTTTTATTTTATATATGTAGTAAAAGAAACTGTAAATAAACCCAAGGTTTATTTTTCTAACCGCATGCAGAGTACTATTGTGAAATTCAGTTAAAACTTTGTTCTTCCTATAAAGCAAAGCAAATGGAAGTTGTTATGACCATGCCAAGTGCTGCCAATGTATTACTAACAATGACAGTAATGAAGTATGAGTAGAAATATCTGCATGTGAAAACAAAATATGAAGAAAAAAAAAATTAAACCAATAGTGTGCACTGAGAGCCAAGGACAGGAGCAGCAACAGCAAAGAAGTAAAGAGAAGAGAAAATGTGGCTTGTACCAGAACTGTGCTGTGGTTGGCTTTTTAGCAGACAACCTGTGATGAGATCAGAACAGAGATGACTCATGAGCACAAAATAACTGCACTGTGATAAAATGAAGATGAGAAGAAGGTTACAACACATTTATGCATGCTATTTCACTTCCTTTCAACTGCATGACAGACCACAGACATATGATTATCAAAGAAAAGGAAATATTGACAATGCTCAGCAGTCCTGCTTTAGATTTCAGGTGGATCAAACAAGGTAGAACATGAACCCAATATCCCATGTGATGTAAGTGCCTGTCCAAACAGTCTGTCATCACCTGTCAAGAAGAAACCA